CGGGTGGAGAATTGAAAATTTTAGAGTGACAGACTAAAATCCCCAATTCGATTCTATCGTTTGGGTGCTGAAGTGTAGATATTAGCCATCAGGCGAGGGGAACGTGGGAGCTCCGAAGTAAGAGTCAGTATCCTCCCAGCCTAGCCGCAGATTCAGTAAACAAGTGTAGGATTAGTCAATGTTCTTTATGCCTGGACCAAAGGGTAAAGAATAGATATGGTCTTATTTGACACAATCCAATTTGAACTAATTCACTTTAATTTCTTGACAAGGAGAATGATGCTTTCTTATATCTTGAATTTCACATTAGAATCTTTATTAGTAGAATTAGTTATTTAAGAGTTATTAAAATTACATATTTATTTCAATTGCCTATTAGTGACAGATAAACAATTTGAATTATATTGTTGTGATTAAGTATTACTTTTCTAAAATCTTAGTTCGTAGCCTCTAATATTATTCCTGGTGGGATCGATATCTAAGATTCTATTAGAGCCCTGTATTACTTGAGCGATACGTATACTTGCATTATTTTTAAAGGAATAAGTGTGACTTTACTATTATTGAATATTTTATACGTCCATATTTATCTTGTATTTTAAGCATATATAAAGTCTCTGTATCATTTATTAATGTCGTTGCTGAGGAATTAAGGAATTAAATCTTCTAGCAGCAGTATTAAATACTTGTATTTTTAAGCATATATAAAGTCGTTGTCAGTTGCTGAGTCACAGATGGTTCATCTAAGGCCGTCCAATCCTGTAGGAATTCATTTTTGGGCCCTCTACATGTTAAGCCTTAGCCCTTGCAACTAGAAGTCGAGTGCTTGGGACCTCTCATGCGAGTTTTCCACAAAAAATGAGTCAAGAAGTGGCTTGAAGCTCTACGGGAGGTGGGCTCCATTACTAGTCCGCTAGGATGGTCAACCAGGAACTCTAATAAGGGATTTTAGGAATAGTAAACTAAAACCTCACTAAAAAAATGAGGTCAACAAGGTGCCAGCTAAAAGATGTGCGTCACATCCTATTTATTGTGCAGAAATTTTTTTAATAAATCCTTTGTAGGTAGTTAATTATGCCTGATTTAAAGTGTCGTTTTGCTGCTAAAGGGAGCTTGCTTTTGTCATTTTTTTCTGATTAATATTGTTAGATCAATTTCTCCAATCTGAAAAGAATTGATGGTCAGCAATACATAAGACACAGTTATGACTATGAGAAGGGAGCTCAGGTTGTAATGGGAGATTGAATGAACTTTCTTCTTATTTTGAATCCCATCCTCCCATCTGCTTGTTCATTCCCTCTCTTGTCCCTTACAGTATTTGTCTAACTAAGCTTTTTCTACCCCTCTTTTAGTTGTTATTTCATCTCCCATTCCCTTTCTTGTCTTCTTTTCTTTCCCATCCCTTTTTGATTTGCTCTGGTTCATTGAGTTTTCATCTTAATGAAGCTCAATTAGTCCTGTGTTTCCTTTAAACATATACACTGGTTTCATGGTTTCATTGTTAAGCTGACCAGCTAGTCAATGATTTAGAATTTTGAATACATTTTGCAATTTCCTGTGATTTTTTTTCCATTTGAGATTGCTTTGCATAATAATTTTTTTTTCCTTTTTCTTCTTATAGTTAACTTTCAGCTCAGTTTTATGCTGTTTTATGATGTTTGGCATATTATTTAAATTTTGCATTGATAAATAAATTGTTTGTCCTTTCAGGTATGAAATTCTGATTGAAAATCTTATGGATCCTGCTCATGTACGATATTCACACCACAAAATAATGAGAGTTTCTAAACAGCGCTCATCACTTGCCAGATATGCACTTCTTAGCAAATTATTATATTATATTTGATCTACATGATGTTATTGATGTCCTTTGAATGATTTTATAAACTCAATTTATTCTTGTTTTTTTCTTCTCTGTTGAAAGATTAGTTCCTATAGTTGTTGAAAGTTCTTCTCCAAAACTTAATTTTAGCTTTGTATTCATCACCAACTTGTGCACAGTTCACCCTATCTTTAATTATTATTTCTTTTTTTCTAAAATAGAGAAATTACAAACTTTCACAGATCGTGAAGGAGGTGTGCCTATAGTGATTACGCTAGAGGAATCAGATATTAATGGCTTCCTTGCAAAGCAAGAATTTGGATATGGCAAGTTTGTTGCTCCTTGTTTATTTCATATGTTCCCTCCCTCAGGGTCTAATAATGGATCCGCTTCATCTTCAGACAGCAAAGCGGTAGCTGTATTGTTTTCTTTAAATGTTTTATTCTGGCTAGTTTTTTTTTTTCTTTTTTCCTTGTAATATCTTCAAATTTTTTTATTAACCTTTAATCACCTACATTACTGCAGGATCAACGAAGATTTCTTATTGTTGTCTACTGCATTCCAGTTAGTCCTGGAAGAAGCAGATTGATTTGGTCCTTCCCAAGAAATTTTTCTGTTTGGATTGATCAAATTGTTCCACGCTGGATGTTTCATGTCGGGCAAAATTTAATCCTTGATTCTGATATGCACCTCCTCCATGTAGAGGTAACGCTCGGTTAGCATCGAAAATTATTATTGTGATGGAAATCTAAGCTTGCTTTGCTTGTTAGTCAAGTGGACCAACTTTAATTAGAAGTTAGATACCATTGAACTATTGTTTCTTTTTTAAATTATTATCAAAGGCCAAATTTGTTTTGTAGTCGGTCATTCTATTAGTAAACCTATTTGGACCAAATTTTCATACTGTTCTTGTTATCTTAGTATAGATATTAAAATTGGACTGCTTAAACAAAAGTAGTTTTCCACTGTTTGGTTTGAGCTGTTGCACAAATCCTGTAGCAAATAGTAGTCTAAACAAGTTATGAAGAGGTCATATAAATGACTTTTAACATTCATATACATATGCGCATATCTAAATATTTTGGATTAATTGTGGGCTATTTATATAATTTATTACATATTAAATTGAACCACAAAGTCCATAGGCTTTTACCCAGGCAACAGAAGAAGCCTCGATAGATTTTATATTTAGTTGATTTAAATACTCTAAACGGTTGTAGGTATTGGGATTTTGGGAATCTCCTCTCGAATCATTTAGTATCTTACTTGGGTTGTTTGCATTTCTTGATTGATATGTGATGAAATATACCCTCGTCTTCCTGTGTTTTTTTTTTTTTTTTGGTTTGTTTGAGAATTTTGGTGGCTTTGCCATTCCTGCGAGAACATTAACTTTTTGCGTAAAGCTATATTGTAAAACTTGAGTTTTCTTGTGCCTTATGAGTGCGGGTGTACTTGGGATATAGGAAAGGCTGGCGAGGCTTATTTCATTGTTGATATTGGTTTATATTCACCCTTCTCTCTCATGGACACAGGCTTGATTGTAGTAAATCACATAAATTATAGTGTCTATTTTTTTTAAGGTTTTCTTTCTCTTTTATACTTGCGGCTCATTGTACTCGATGCTAGTGATGCTTCATTATTGGTTTGACATTCTTAGTGTAGCAAAATAATTAGAGTGCAGTTTGGAGTGTGATGTCTGTGCAATTTTAGATTGACAATTTTTATCGGTTACAGAGTTTTGCTCTTTAAAGAATCAAAATGCTTTGCATTTACCAGGATTTAATCAGCTTCTAAATTTGACATGCAACTATTACTTGCTGCTTAGCCGACCATTGAGAGTTGGCCAATATTTTTGAGTTCAGCTATATCTTCTAATGTCATGATTGTTATGTTATTACTGTTGATTCTGGCAAAGTTGAGGTTTCCACACAAACCTCCATGATTTCTACCATCGCACATTCCACTTCAAGTTTGTTATTTTACAATCAAAAGGTTTTCCAAAGAACTGTCATTGAGTTCTCCATATTATATTTGTTAGTGACAAGAACCGTGGAATGAAACTTACCTAAATTAATTGTCCGCTTTCTAACAGTTAGCCACACAAGAAATTTTTCTTATTTATGAGAATTATATAATTTTTATGGTTCTGGACTTTTTATCAAAATTTCAAGTCGTAATCTTGACTCGCAATGTCAATCTAAGGGCTCAAGTCAGATCCCTTAAAAATCAAGGCAATACTTGACAGCCAACCCAACTTCTCTATCTCTTATGCTTGGTGTTTTTATGACTTAGCTATTTTGTGGATATTTCATTAAGAACTTTAGTATTATTACCAAACTTTTGACAAGTATTTTGAAAAGGGTGAATTTTAATTGGATAACCTATTGTGAAAGCATCTGAAGTGATAAAGTGCAGTTTTGAGACTCCTTAATTTAGAAATTTTTTGAGATATTTTGTGATGTTTCTGGAGTTGATGTAAGTGGTGGTCTTAGATGAGAATATCGTCCAATCCCTTATTTTAGTCAGAATTCAAATAATGCTAAGCGGACATTATTTATTTATGATATGGAATTTTAGGTTTCAATGATGCTTTTAAATATTAACAACATTATTTACTGCCAAATGAATTCATTTTCCTTTTTTGTTCTCCTGGTTGTGAAATATATAAATACTAAATAGTAGCAGTCATATCAGATGGCTTGAATACATTCAAGATTACATTTTGGTCTTTAAATCATCCAGAATAAAATAAGATATGTAATATTCGCCATTTCCTTACTCTTAACCTCATTGTACATTGATATGCTTGGTTTTTGCAGAATATGAAGAGTATGTAGCATGCCCTGACTTTCATTTGATTTATTAGATCAGAAGGATGTAACATGCATTTCTTTATTCACATTTTTTAGTTCTAGATAGATAATTTTATAAAATTGGTATGCTTTGCATTCAAAGTTTTTTATTTGTCGTTATATTATTTAGGAGTGCATGATGGTAGCTTGTCAAGCTACTTTGATTAGTATAAAGTCATATACTTGCTTGAGTGTACGACTGGTTATTGCTACAATTGTTATTTAGGTTTATGGATGCCAAATGAGAAAAAAAACTGTAAAACGATGTACCGGCATGTACACCACTTTCTGTCCTTTCAACTCCATAATTTGATTTGTCGATCAATTTTATATTTGAATTTCCTATGACTATTTGTTGTCATAATAGCATATAGATAGTAGATAAGTTTTCTGAAACATCTCCCATCATTCCATTTATTAAGATTTATTGAAGTACATATCTAGCAAAATTTTCCTTTGAGAAAATAATTAGGTTATTCCAAAAATATTCCCTCTTAAGGATTCGTATTAGATCCTAATTGTAGGTATTGAAAGTTTGTGTTGGGATTTAGGACAACATTTGTTTTGTTTGTTTCTATAAGGTCATTGGTATCAAGTTGTTGTGAATTTTCTCGGTAAATGTGTGAAATCTGCATGGGTTACATGCATTTCTTAGCATATATATGATAATGACTCGTACGCTTTGAGATTTCCATAAAATAAAAGGGGAGCTCTTATTTTTTTCTTTTTTGTTTTTCTTAATGATCTTTCATAATGACAATTATGCAGAAAATTGTCAAAATGGTTCCCTGATTCTTTGCGGGGAGGCATTTTAGACCCCGAGTAGTCCCAAGTCTCTTCTAACGAGGGCTAAAGTAGTCCTCTTTGGAGATTATTTAAACTCATATTAAAAGAGTATGAGGATTAAGTTAGCACATGGAAAGACTCAGGGACTAGAATGACCCAATGCAAATAATCAGGGTACTATTTTGACACTTCACTTGGTCATTTATAACACCTTCCACTTCCATTGGTGCTAATCAAAGTCCGGATTAACAGGAGCGATATATTGCTGAGATTGGCCCTTCCAACTGGGAAAAAGCTTGTTTTGTGCCAACGAAGTCGGACGTCATGGTTACCGCTTTTAGAAGATGGTTTAGAAAATACTCAAACTCTCAGGTTGACTGGGCAAATAAGTCTCTAGGCTCCCTACTTCCTACTCCTCCTAGAGAGCAGCTTATGGACAGGTATCCTCGAGACGAAGCCATGACACTTCTAAATGGCAGCCATGTCGTCTCGAACATTTTGCAGAACGCTTTAATATGCCCACTTCGAACATGTTGGAGACAGCTTTAGACTTTTCATGAGCACTTACTATAGAGATGTTGGACACATAATATACTTTTGTATTTCACTCATCTTAAAGCATGTCTATAGATTTGAAAATACACTTTGACATTCTAAACCTGTTTATATTTCCTGCAATTTTTTGAAAATATTTTATTTGTAAAAAAAATTGAAATTTCTTTCTTTGATTTGTCTCAGGTATTGGACTCATGTTGTGCAGTGCAGCAGCTGTAGTGTGGCTTTGAAGTTGCTGAAAGTACTCGAAACCTCTCTTCCAATGGTTACATTAATCTTGATTGGAGTTGTGGCCGCTTCCAATCAAAATATGATTTCTGCAGCAGTAAGGACTGCATTGGTCTCCATTGCAGTAATCTGTTTTGCAGCTTCCAAGTGGCTCTCCCACTTCATATACAAGACCTTTTATTTCCATGACTATAACCATGCGTTCGTCTGACGCCGAAGCTCCAGCTCTCGAAAAAATATTACATCCAAATTCCGGATGTAAGTTTTTCCCAGCTCTCTTTTCTACAAATCAGATATAGTTTAGGTGCCCAATCCTAATATTTAATGTTTTGAATGATTGGTATGTAAAGCCCTCTTTTATGTATTTACAGAACTCCCAATTCTTTATCTTTGCATGCAATTCTTAAATTGTTAATATTAAGTCAAAAATATAAAATGTGAAAATATATATTTTTATGCAATTTTGTGAAATGTTTTGGTGTTAGATTTATAAATACATAAGAATTGGGTCGTATTCATTAAAAAATTTCTTAGATGGATATTATATTTTATGGAGAGGTGCTTATCTTGCTTTTGTACCAAGGAGTTGAATTTTTCAGGTTTTTTTTTATTGGATGCCAGCAAGAGGTATTCTCTGTTTGGAAGGGTAGGTAATTGAAAATATTATCTTGCCAACACTTTGTCATTTCTTTTTTTTTTATTACAAAAAAATGATAATTTTATATATTTTTTAAAATTTATTTTCAATTATTTTTTCAATTAATTAGTCTACTTGCAAATTGAATATTAATTATGCTGTTTTGATTTTAATAATGTTAATTTGTAGTAAATTTTATTATAGATGATCATTGGCCAGTGGTTGATTTGAGCTTCAATCGTGGGCATTAGTTTTTTTTTTATTATTTAATTGCAGTAACTAAGCCTAATATAATTATTCAATTAATTTATTGATTATTGATCGTTAATTATTATTAATTATTTAACTATGCTAATATGGGGATAATTAGATTTTCTTTTTTGAATTGGTGATATTGTTCAAATGCTGGTTTTAATTAAGGTGCGTTTGGGGAGTTGTTTTTGTTGCTTGCCATTTTCAAAATGCCAGTAGGGGTCGATTGGGTGTGTCGTTTTTTTGTTGCTTTTTAGCGTTGATCATTGGTGGAATGGTGAAAGCTGATACGAAAATAGACGAGCACGTTGTCACGGACAAATAGTCTCACATCGACTAGGTGTAGGGCCGAAAAACAGTATTTAAGTCCTGGGCTGCCCACCTCTCTTAAGAGTTCTTTTGAGAGGTGGCAAGTGGTATCAAAGCAGATTACTGCCTGTCAGGTGTGTGGATTCTTCATGGTCCAGTGGGACCCTTTGTGGAGCTGATCCGTGACGAGAGCGTCACGTGATTGGGTGGAGAAGAATGTCACGGACAAATAGTCCCACATCAGCTAGGTGTAGGACCAAAAAACAGTATTTAAGTCATGGGCTGCCCAACTCTTTTAAGGGCTCTTTTGGGAGGTGACAAGTGGTATCAAAACAGATTACTACTTGCCAGGTGTGTGGACTCTCCATGGTCCAGTGGGACCCTCGGTGGTGCCGATCCGTGACGAGGGCGTCACGTGATTGGGTGGAGGAGAATGTCACGGACAAATAGTCTCACATCGGCTAGGTGTAGGGCCGAAAAACAGTATTTAAGTCCTGGGCTGCCCACCTCTCTTAAGGGCTCTTTTGGGAGGTGACTGCGTGTTGTGGTTTGATCTCCATTTTGCGTTTGTAATGTCAATGCTACCCCTTTGCTCAAATATCCCTCGTTTATTATTGGATTTTCCCATTTATTCTTCTGTCGTTGCGTTTCTAGGGCAAACTCTTGGTTCCCCTTCTCTTTGTTAGTTCTCGCTCCTGTCAGCTGTCGCCCACTCTCTCTGTATGTACATCATATCCTTATATTGTCAATTGTTGTGGTTTGATGGTTTGTGTTGGACCTTTTTTTCCCTTCTGCATGTCGGTTTACTTGTTGATAGTATGATGCTTTGGTGGTTGAGGTGCTATGTCCATTTATGTTATTTTGGTGCTTTTGTTGTTTTTCTTGCTTTGGTGATAATATTCCATGCATGCTTTGATTGTTTTATTTACCTCTTTTTGAATATACAAATGATTTTTATGAATACATTGATATGCAATGTGGGTTATTTTTAACATATATCCATCTGAATTTGTTGCGAGCCGATGCAAGCATGAAAGTTTGGGTTTAAGAGCACTCATTAATTTAATTTCCATCTCCTTTTCTTCAATTTGAAAATGTTTTTCATGGAGACAATCATGTGCACCATTGGTTGTTCTTAAAAAATATCCATATGAAATTGTTGTGAGCCAATGCAATTATGAAAAATTAGATATTAGATCAGTTGGTAATTTTATTTCACGTGCTCTTCTTCAATCTGAAAATGTTTTTTATGAAGACATTTATGTGCACTGATGGTTATTTTTGAGAAATATTTATTAGAATTTGTTCTAAGCAAATGCAAATGTGAAAGTTTAGATGTTAGGTTAGTGAGTAATTTCAATTCAAGTAATTTTAGAAGACTGCACAACAGTCTAGAGAATATTAGAAGGAAAAGCTTCGAGGAGAACTCGAATAACCTAGAATGATCTAGGGCTAAGTATGTATATAAGAGAATGATGTAGAACTATCTAGAAACTAGACTATTCTAGACTATTCTAATGTAGTCTAAATTCCCTTAGATTTGGAGGGGACTATAAATAGGAGTCCTTCGCACTCATTTGGAACCATTCAAGATTCTCAAACACTGAAGTGTTTTAACCACTCTTTCTTAGTGAAGTGTTTCTTACTCAAATATTTCTCTTTTCTCTTCTTCCTAGTGTTTTCAATTTACAAAGACGAACGTTATGAGGGTTAGGCTAATTTAGTGCCAATGTAGAGTGCTGAAGCAACACGGGTGACTTGAGATAAGTTGGTTCGTGACAAACCGCTCCAAACACACCCTAGTACTATCATAATTAATTAGTAGATTGGTTGGCCAAAGTGAATGGTAATTAAGGAATGATTTGGTTAAATACAAATTAAGCTGAAATAAATTTTAATATTTTTAGTATTTAATTATTGTAATAAAAAATTATTACATAAATAATCAAAGCAAGCATCAAATTTATCTAGACTAAGTAAAGTTTAACATTATCATTAAAAATGTAATAATATTTAATTATGGTTATTTGACTCAAAGAATAAATTATTATCAATTTATTTATTATTAATTATCAGTAACTATTTTTTATCCTTAATCTAAAATCATTTACTTTTTAATTTTACTTAAATTTATCTCTAAAAAAGTTAATAGTTAATAAATGATTATGATGATAATTTAATGAATTAGAAGGTTATTGTTGGACCTAATTGGATCAGAATATTATGTACAAACTTTGGCGGGAAGAATATTGTCATTTTTGAATTTATTTTAAGAAGATTATAATATATTATTTGATTTATAATTAATGTATTCTATTTTTCTTAAAATAATTTAAAATCCTAAAAATCATCCTAACCAAATTTTCATTTAAATATCCTTAACAAAATCTCCATTATTATTTATATGAATTAAATATGAATTGAACATTATTTCATGCTAATTAACTATTATTTATTATTATTTTCTTTTTTTGATTGCCCTTTTTTTTATATATTCATGTGCAATAATAAATAGAAAAATAATAATGCAACAAATGCCGACAAATGATTCATTGCATAAGTTAAAATAATAAATCATATGATTCTTATGTTATTATATTGATTATCTTCGTGAGAACTTCCAATTTTTTTGTGATATTTACATATAAATCATCATAAATTTTGATATTTACAATTTAGTCTTGTAAGTGATTTTTTTGAACCGCCGGGCTTATCCATTTATTGAATGGATCAAACTATTGAGAATTTGATAAAAAAAGAAAAATATTGGTAAGAATTTTATCATTAATTTTGATATTTGAGTGTAGGGCTGTCAAAAAAGCTCATTGTTCGTGAACAGTTCATGCTCAGTTCGTCAATGGGTTCGCGTTCGATTCGGTCGATAAATAAACGAGACAAGCGTGAACAATTTTTTTCGCTCGGTTAGTTAAACGAACCAAACACGAACAGTGATGCGTTCGTTCGTGTTCGAATGGTTATTATTCAAAATATAAAATAATTTAAAATAATAAATTTTATAAATTATAATATATAATAAATTAATAATAATAATATATTAATATGCTATATTGGTAATATACGAATATAGATATTTTATATTTATATAATATAAATTATATAATTAATATAATATATTATTTATATATATTAATATTAGAGATTTCAAACTAGCTCGTCGTTCGCGAACAACTCGTGTTTGACTCGTTCGTTAAGAAATGAACACGAACAGTGACTTCAAAAATAATTTCAAACAGGAGCTTATTTCAAACAAACTAAATTTCAAACGAATTAAACACGAACACAAGCTCTGTTCGTTCGTGTTCGGATCGTTTACCCCACTGTTTGAGTGTGAATTTTGAAAATGAATGTAGATTTGTAAATAGGAAGTGTGGGACGGCCTATATGTTATTGCTCCCCCGACTTTTTTATTTATTATTATTATTATTATTATTATCTTATTTTGAAATTATTGCTATTTGCTTCGTCTGGTTAAAGGAAGCCAGCCGTTCACTCCGACCTCCTCCACCACCACCATTCGGCTCTCTCGCCTCCAAATCCATGGATGCAATTACAACCACTTCCGTCCTCTACTCCAATTTCGTTTTACTCTCTTCGAAACCCTACCCTTCTCTCCGCTCCCATCTCCGCTGGTACACTCCATCAAGCTCCCACGTTTCCCGCCAAAACCTCAAGCTCAACGTCTCCACCTTTGATTCCACTTCCGTGGCCGTCCCGGCGGCTGATACCCTCTCCGCGGGTGGGAATTTTGGTGAGAAGTTTGATTGGTATGCCCATTGGTATCCAGTGGCGCCAGTGCGCGATCTCGACAAGCGGGCGCCGCGCGCGGTAAGGGTGCTGGGGATAGACCTCGTGGTGTGGTGGGACAGGGAGGGGGATCAGTGGAGAGTGTTCGATGATAGATGTCCCCATCGCCTCGCGCCGCTCTCGGAGGGGCGGATTGATAGTTGGGGTCGCCTGCAATGCGTTTACCATGGCTGGTGCTTTGACGGGGCTGGAAGCTGCAAGATCATTCCTCAGGCTCCGGAAAATGGCCCTCAGGTGAGCCTGTTATGGTCTGTATTGGTTCTTAGAGCTGTTTGTTGGGTTTCTTCCCATTAATTTGGTTGCTTGAATTTAGGAAATATATTTAAAGAACAGTGTGTTTTTTAGATTCCAGGTATACTTAGATGCAGTAGAAATGGATTTTAAGCTTAACAAGCCTTTCAGAGCCAACTGATTACTTTATTTTCACCTGTAAAATGAATGAAAATGAAAACATGATTTGCTGAATCTTGTTTTGTATTTACGAGCAACCTAACGATTCCTTAGATTTATATTTCCAGTTGGCTAAAAAATGCATCCATATTGTTAGATAAGATTAATATCCAAGGACGAAAAACAAATAATCATAGACTTTATTTAGAAATATTTTTGTAGAAGAGGGTTATTTCTTCAAGCAAATTGCTCAATAAGAATGAATAAAAAATATTGATTCATCCAAATAGTTTGGATAAGGCTAATGATGAAGATGCTGGCTACAAGTTGCTTGATCTTTGTTTATTAGGATCATTTCAGGCATTAGCGATGTTTGCTCTACATACCAAATAGCCTTGTTGCTGTCTTCTTATCTTGTTTGATTTTTGCCTATATTATTTGCATGTCAATCTCTTCATTGGGCTAGAAATTAACATATTTGAGTTGCACTTATATTGGTGCATGCATAACAAAATAAAAAAAATCATCAAAAGCTTGCATGATCATGCATGCTTTGATCTTAATGCTATGTTTCACCAAGATTTTAGAGTTAAGTTAAAAAAAAATATATGATCATAAACAACACCTTTATTCCAGCCGAACAGATGCAAGATTAAAACTGTTACTCTAGCATTAAAAACTCTCTATGCATACTTTTGTTTTTGTGAAAATGGATAACATATGATTTTTGTTAGTTTCATTAAAAAGTAAGTAACCGGAGAGTCTCCCGAGGATACCTATGTTTTTTGAAATAACTGTTTTGTTGATATACCTTGAAAACAATGCTTAGCTAAAAGTTAAATTTACATAAATGCTCTTTCATTTTGCTCCCATATATTTTATTTTTTAATAGGTACCAAAGTTGTTAGGGACTAGTATATATTGACATCCGATTAGGTTTGGTGTGATCAACTAGATAGATTTGGAGAGTAGGCTGATGAACCTAGATAAATCAAAGGAGTTGAAGAAAAATGAGGCCGAGAAAGTAAAAAAAAAATAAAAGGAATTGTTATTTGATTTGGTCTTGCATAGCCTAGTTGTTGTGTGCACAACCAAAATTGGGATCGAACACCATTGTTGTTCTCCCTTGAGGGATGCATTTTCCATTTATCATTATGTTAGAATGGTCTCCTTAACAAGTGAGACCTCACCAACAAAATCCTTTCAAGTCATGCTACTCTTGGCATGTGTTAGGATATCCTGTATTGATAAGGGTTGGCATATTCAATCTTGGATTTTTTTGCGATTTGTCACCACAATGATTATGTAGTGTACCGATGATTCTTGTACATCCACGAACCCTCTTTGCATGAAGGACAAGTACTCTTATTGAATCATTCATATATTGTCCCGTCGAGCAAGGAATTATTCTTATGTCTCATGTTTAATAAGACTTGGTCCACTAGGTCATGCTTAGGCATCCTTTAAGAACTCTGTTTTACCATGTGTGCAACAATGAATTTTCTTGGAAACTCGATAGGCTTTTCCACCCTAAATTTTGATATTCAATAGTGAATTCAAAGTTTTAGGACATGTTTGGTAATGAAGTTAGAGCAGTATTTAACCTGGATTTAATCTAAATCTTGCTAAACTATCTGTTTAGACAAATAAATTCGTGGATTTGATAAATCCAGATTTTAAGGATTTCAACTAAATCCGGGACGGGTGCTTCACATGAAAAGGATATGAAGTTATCTTCTTCCATGGTTTTGGGTAGATGAGTAGGATAAATATGAGAGTTTCGTGACGTAATAAAGTTGACATAATCAACAATTTACCCGTCGATTTTGACTCGTCTTCGGTCAAATTCAACGATTAGCTGCCGATTCTGCTCAATTATTGACCCAATATGCACTTACACATTTTTAATCACCTTAATTATGTCAGAAAATATATCTCAATTTATATCTAGCGGCTAGTGTGAACACTTACAATGAATTATGAATTATATAATATATTTTCATAGTATGAGTACTACGCAAGCATACATATCATTTCAAGTAACATAGGATTTTCCTTAAAAACCCCAGTATCGATCTTATGAGGAATGCAATAACTCTTAAAATAAACTTACAAAAATTTTATTTAAATTTCAAATTAAAAAGATAAAAGATTTAAAATGATATGTTTACTAAAAATTATTACTAAAAGAGCTTAAAAAGATAGTAAAAACTAAATGTAACAGCTTAAAAAAATATAACAACGAGTTTGGATATTATGGAAAACCTTTTTCCTTGCAAAGAGATTTTAATCTATGTAAGATTCAAATGATTTAAGACAAAATTGAGGTATTCTGAAAAATAGAAACATACCTTATTCTTTCCCCCCTCCCGGTGCTTGCAAAGAACATTAGCTATCTTAAAGCCGATTCCTTAACATCTTGATTCTACATCAGTGCTATCTAGCCTCTCACCTCTAGATGCCCATAAGCCTATGCCACTATGATGGTCGAATCCCAACGTCAGGGTACTAAACCTTAAGCCAAATTGATAAAAATCTAGCTAGTCAATCTAGAACTAACCAATTATACGCCCATCAAAACTTATCTCCTTATTTATTTGCACTCCCCCTTAGGTGATCACCATGACTCTGCCATGTTGTATCCACTAGTTGGGTGAAATAATAGTTCTTCTAGATCATTATGCTTTTCAACAGATTTTAACGTCACAAGTGATCAATTTGTAAAGTAAATGAAGATTCAATAAAAATATCATCACAATTTTTAAGAGTAAAAATAAATCTTTAAATCATCCTCATCCCATAAGATTAAGTCCCATATGCAAGAAGAAAGAAATGGAACTACTCAGAATTCATGGAGATTAAACAAAAACAAAACATTTGCATTGAAATCCAAGTCTTAGGACAAAAACTCAAACACAAATATAAAGTAGCTTATGTCTTCTCCCCAAACAAACTTCTGGAGTTTCCTCTAAGCAATCTCCAAACTTCTTCATATTAAAACACACTCACACTTACACTTGAACACAAAATATGAAAAACCTAACTCACTATTGCCGCCCAATTGAAGTTTTGAGGCTCCAAGTAGTCTTTAAATTCGGCGAAATCCTTCTCATTAAATAGAATACAAAAAATAACCAATGGTTGTTTCAAGCACCCCTCTAAAATTCGGTCAAATTTGATGTATTTTCTAGAAAGATAGTTACTGACGCTATATTGCCAGTCTGGGGCGCTATAGCGCTCTTCTCGCTCGACGGTGGCGCTATGGCGTCAAGGAGTGGCGCTATAGCGCCACACAAAAATCATCATTTTTGCACTATTTTTTTCTCATTTTCTCTAAATGTCCATTCCATATACCTGAAACAAAAAACATGCAAAATACCTTCCTTTAAAGTGCAATATCATCAAAAAATGTACATAAAAAGCTTATAAAACATGCACTAAAAACATGTTATTTTGAGGTGAATCAATTATTCCCACAATAATTAATTTAGGTAGCTAGTGTGTTGGAGAGAAATGGTTTTCTCATTTTATCCACGTAAAACAAATGTTTTACACGAATTTCAATGTCTATAAAAGCTTGTTGCGGGAGAGGGAAGGAGCAGGCAGTTTCAAATTCCAAATTTTATTTTTGTGGGAGTTAAGGAGGAAGCAAATAGTTCCCTAATTTATTGTGGTCCGACAGTATATTTTTCTTCCTCATTTTCGACTGTATATAATTTTTTTGCATTTTTTATTCTCTATAATAATAATAATATATATATTAAAATGATTTTTTAAGTAAAAAATAAATCCAAAATTTGAAAATATATTTTAAAAATTTCAGTGTTAATAATTTTACTGTTGGTATTAGTAGTAATATTATTTGTTATAAAATGTAATAATAATAATAGCAATAATAATAATAATAATAATAATAATAATAATAATAATAATAATAATAATAATAATCATAATACTATTTTTGAAGAAATAAATCAAAATCGAAAAAAAATCTTTTAGTTTTACTTTTATAACGTTAAAAAATTTTATTGATTCTAGTGGTGACCAACGGCTCATTTGTTGATTCAAGATTCTTGGTTATGCTATATTGTCCAAGAAATAGTGATACGAGATTATAGTAAATAGAGCAAACCAATGCTTGAATAAGAAGTCCTCTAGCTTGAGGAAGGATATCGTTGAGTTATTCTAATGCGTTGATTATAATTATTCTGTATCGTTGCCCAACATCATGCGTTAGAGTCCACTTAGTAAATTATCAGAAAATCAATAAATCATTTGCTTCTTGTTTTATATTGCGGATGCCAATCTTATGTTGGCTGACTAATCAAATTTTATCTGTATTTTCTGTTCAGTAGATCTTCTGATAATGCCTACCTAACTTATTGCATTTTTTAAGTGTTCTTTGAAATGCCTCAAACAAAAAAAACTATGTGCTGCCCATGAGAATTTTTTTTAACTTCCACAAACAATGCCTAAATGATGATCTGAGGTTATACAAAGATCTTCCTGTGATTCAACTACTGGCAGCTCATACAGATTTTTTAAAATTCACATACAAAAGTCGCTGCACTTGGACTCAACGACCTCAAATGCCAACAAGAAGAGTTTGTTATTCACATCAACACCAACAACCCTTGGTAAAGTTTCACAATGTTTGCCCAACAAGAATGTGCAATCCAGGCTCAATACAGGCGAACAACTTCTCTGGTCCTCTATAGAGGACTCAAATACCCAGAAAAGATGCTGAAATCGAGATGTCTCGTCTAATTGAATCCTATATGTGGATCCTGATAGTGCACCCAAATGACTACAATTAACTTATGCAATTAATAATAAGACTCTTC